TAATGAGTTAATTTTGTATGTGCTAGATTGTGATTTAGAGTTACATAGAAATGAACATTAAGGTATAAAGAGCCAAGCAATGTTGAAACTAAATTTTCACATCACTGTAAATGGAGTGCAAGAACGGCCACAAAAGAATAAACAACCGTAAACTCCTAAGTATCGAGCAGAAATAGAATAAGCTCACCATCCATAAATTGGTCAGCAACCCAAAAACAAAACCATGAATTGGTAGATTCGAATTGGGACCGAAGAGAACGTAGGAAAAAGAATTTTCTTGAGGTAAAATCGTTATAAAATCATTTATCATATTTCATGTATCTATATATATGGAATATGGTGGTTGTTTGTACTCAGTTATATATATTTATATATACACGAGATTTGTATGTTACTCTTGTATTCTTCCATGCATGTTACTCTTGCATGGTACTTTGCAAGCAAATTAAATTAAAATAGGGGACATGTGTTAGGTGGGCTTTGTTTTCAAAAGGGAAGACAGATATGACCAGTTTTCCCTTACATCGCTTTATTTCCGTCTCAACGAAAATGCTTATTTTCTAATGCTTATGTTTAGTTTGTTAATTTGTTAATAATTATTTAAAAATCATCTTAGCAAAAAGTCAATTGAATATGAGAATATATTACTTGGTATTCACATTGTCGGTTTATTCTATACATTTAAATGCATATATATCTTCGATCGACTTATTTTTTTTGCACCGATACAAACAATTATAAACTCAAATGAAAATTAACAAATTACTGTTCTGATTAGAAAATTTATACAATTAAAATGTTATTTGTAAAATGTGATTCCTTTCATGGGAGGATGCAAGTATTATTTGATATTGTATACATGTCCTAGGTTAGGAACATTTATTGTGGGTTAAGAAAAAAATAACTTCACAATGAGTTGTTACTAGGTTACATCGTGTGTTAGGTAAATTGAAAGTCGAACCAATTAATTAACTTCATAGTGATTTAGTAACCTTGTCTTCAGATTCTAGAACCCATGACTGATACGTGTTTCTTCCTCGGCCGTAATTGCTCAAGGGCAGAAGTCAACAACGCATTCGACCCACCATACACATTTATTCTACTCGCCTGATCGAGCTCGGTTACGAGTTAGTATGCCCGCATTTACAAGAAAGATGTAATTAGATACTTGTTTGACTTGTGCGCCAAATAAACATTGTAATATTTAAAGCCAATACCGAATCTAAACAATAATTATTATTATTTAAAAAAAAAAGAAAAAAAGAAGCCCGATTCCAAATAATTGGGTTTATATTTGTTAATTTTTATGTTCTTTATTGCCGGCGGCCTTGGTTTCTGTGGATTGATCTCGGTCCACTTTTCTTGGACCTGTATAAACAAGGAGGGATCAAACTAATGTATATTAGGCTTAAATTAATCTTCACATAATTGTTTATGTATTTTTTTAAATTTCTTTTCATTAAAATAAATATTTTTGTTTTGACGTTGGATATAAAACATTCTTGCCCTAGAAATTGACACCTAGTGCTTGACATTATATTCACCACCCAAAGTTCTTGCATTGAATAGTAACACCTAGGAAGGAGGATGAGTTGACCGTGAAATAAGTAGACTTTCAAATCTTATAGAAAAAAGATACAAATAAAATATAGTTAGTAAAATACGGAATACGTATAGTATGTGATTATTCAGCAACTTTGCTAAAAAAATTACTTTGAAAATTCCGTCCTTTTTTTTTTAAAATTTAGATTGATTTATTTAAAATAGTTATTTATTTTTGTTTTCAATTGTAAGTTAAATATACATATTGAATACATGAATTTTATATGTATAATTAAAAAATGGAGAAATTAGGTTCACATCTCTCTTTTTGCTACTCCATTGATTAAAATTCTATTCATTTTCAATTTTTGATCAAGGTCCTTGGGTATTAATAACATCATTAATTATTTGAATAATAAAATATTTTTATTTTTAAATATATTCCTTTAGTGTAAAAAATGTTACAATTAGTATATTTATATTTATGGCTAAATTTTTATCATATATTTTTATTTTTAGTTTGTACCTATTTTTAATTTGTACCAATTTTTTTTTCATTTTTAATTTGTACCCATATATTAGTTTCTTTTTATGCCCATATTTTTTAAAATTTTATTTGTCTTTGTACCCATGTGTATACCGTCACGTGACATGGTATATTTAATCAATGATAGAAAATTTTCATATGGTATATTTATGTTTTATGCCTAAACTTGTATCATATATTTATATTTTTAGTTTGTACCCACTTTTAATTTGCAACATTTTTTTAAATTTGTAGTATTTTCTTTTTAATTTTATTTTGTACCAACGTATTAATTTCTTTTAGCGCCTATATTTTTTTAAAATTCATTTGTACTCATAATTTTTTAATCTTTTATCTGTACCCTAATTTATTTATAATGTACACATTCTTCTTTATAAATGTACCACTTTGTTGTATGCGAAATGTACCAATTTTTTAACACTATGGATACATTCTTTTGCCATTTAATATTTCTTATTTTTACATAGTTTTTATCCATTTATTCAATCAAAATGTTTGAATTTTTTTATTGTAACCGTTTCTAATAGTATTATAATGAGAGATTTTAAATTTATAGGATTATAAATCTCATAAAATATCAAACAATTAATGTCAAAACTATAAAAATATAAATATTAATTGTGATATAATGAAGTGTACAAAGTCAAGGGACTTTGATCAAACTTTGAATACCATTAAAGTTTTAGTTAAAGAATGTTAAGGATTAAGGACCGCATCTAAAGTACCGTTAAAAAATATATCTAAATAACATGTATTAAATGTTAAAAGAAAGTAAGTACATATATGTTATGTTTATCATATATTGAAGTTTTAAAAAACGTGCACTTTAACAAAATATGTACGTATGTGTATAATAAATGTACCGTACGCAAACTTACTAACTATAAAAAGAAATTCAAAACAAAATGAAGAATTCCAGGTTAGCAAGCTAGTACACAAGAACTTTTTTTTTTTGTTCCAGATGTTTACACATAGGCATAGGGATCACTGTATCAATTTAAGTATTTTAGTTTATAAATTTGCGAAGGAAATTAATAAACACACACAATAAAAAGGAGTGTGCAAAGCCGGCCCAAGCCCAGTGCGGGCTGGGCGATCATTCGGGGCCCAAAAAAATTGAGGGCACCAAATTATTAGGAAGGTATATTCATATATATTTTTATAAGAGTATAAATTTTTAAAAGTTGGTTGAATAACAAAAGAAATTTAAGCAGAGCTGGTCGCTTTTGTTGTTTTAAATTAATGAGGATGTTTTGGATTCAAAACACCATGTCTGTTTATTTACTTTTCAATTCTACTAATTTCTTTTAATAAGAATATAAATTTATAAAAATTGGCCAAATGATCAAAATGTTTGACTTGACAGTAAGTGGTGGTTTACGTTGTTTAAAATTATCAATGAGGTCTTGGGTTTGAAACACTATGCGTCTTTTGTTACTTTCCAACTTTTATGAATTTATTTTCATAAGAGTTTAAATTTATAAAATTTGTCTAAACAATCAAGAGGTTTAATAAGAAGTAATGGTTTTTGTTGTTCAAAATTAACGAGAGATCCTGAGTTCGAAATACTATGTGCATGTTTATTCTTTTCATTTTTACGAATTTCTGTTTAGTTGTTAATTTCTGTTTAGTTACTAGCTAGTAGCTATGTGGGTTGCAGTTTTTGAACATTCGTTCCAAATCAAGTCTAACCTTCAACAAAGTGGACAAAATTTTAGACCAAATTTACAAATCATATGACGTGTCACCAATAGGTATAATTTAGTACTCATTCATTGCTTATACATATCAATTAAAGACTAGAAAACATCATTAATTTTTAGCCTTTATTGAAAAGGTTAGCATATATAAAAAATACATCGTGATTTATATAAAAATACTTTTGAAGTTCAGATAGAAAGAAAACAAAACTCATCATCTATCTACTTGTAAGCCCAGGATTTTTTTGGTTCCATTCTCTTGATACAAAATAAATTAGTTTTTCTGTGTTTCTATATTATTGTGTTTGAAGTACTTTTCTAAGTATAATTTTATCGAAGTCTTACGTGTAAAAACAAATAATTTTTTATATGAAGTTAGGGCACATTTTTTGGTGTTGCCCCGAACCTCAAAAATCTCAGGACCGGCCAGTGTGTGAAAGTTAAAAAACGTGTGTGAAAATCAATCTCATCTGTAAATTTTGCCTAAGCACTCTAACGAGTTTATTATTGTCAGAACAAATTAACTACGGCTTATTCGATATTTATTTTGTTCTTAAATTTCACTTTTATCGTTGAAGAGTTAGAGTGGTAATACATAGGAGAAAGGAGACATAAGAAGAGCGGATGGAGGATGGTGAGGTGCAACCCTGCGAGAGCACCCCTTTGAATCCACTCTTATCCTACCTACTTCTCTTCCACATTCCTGTAATCTTTAATTCTGCATTGCCAAAAGCACAGCCAGCAACATCCAGCCAAGCTTTCTAAAGAGCAAGAAAGACAAGAGGAGTTCCATTTGAGCTCTTCTTATGCTTGGCTGGATATTGCTGGCTGTGCTTGCTTCTATCTTGGTATTTCTTTGACAAATCCTAATGTAGCTCAAATGAACAAGACAATTTTGCCTAATCAGTACGAGAATAGGCTGCATATCATAATACTCATAAACTTGTGTGGGATTCTAATGCAGGTCATTCACACAAATCATCGTTGTTAGTACTACCGCAGATTATTCATAACCAGATCATGTAAGGCTCCCTATAAGACATATTTAGACGGTACGGTTTAGGGATCGAAATCAACATTACCTACGACACAAGAATAGCTGCATCCCGTGATAGTTTCTGTCATAGTTTTATCTATTTTTACAACTTGTATCATGTTAGACGACCGTGAATCATCAATCTTACTGAGCAACGAAAGAACTAATGTTATCGTAATGACATAAAATAATTCTCCAACCAAAGTAACGATAAACAATATGCTTAAATGTGAGCCATTGATCGAATACTAAATGAATACATTTCTATAGAATTTAGTGAGATATAAACAATTCAATTCCTGTGTAGTTTTATCATTTCCATTAAATCGAGGAATCATTTTATGGTTCCCTAGCATCAGTTAGTCTTCTTCTTGCCTTAGAGTCATCGAGATAGTTCTGATAAATATAAGAGGCGAAACCCCAAAGAGCCAGAAGCATAGCAATTACCTTGGCACCGTTCATCTTGTCATGGAAGATTATCACAGCGGCTATAGGAGTAACAGCCAAAGAGAGAGTACTGATTACATTGGAGAAGAGAGAAGAAACCACGAAAATTAAGCCCACGACACCAACAGAACAAATTTGCCAAGCCACAGCTGTCCAAACTAGGGTCATCACGTAAGAAACTCGTCCCTTGCCATAGTTTTCCATTTCCCCATTCAAACTCCTCCATTCCCCACTTGCAAAAAGACCTACAATTGCAGCACAAGTAGCGACCAGGGCCGTATAGATTTGCATCTCCAGAACCACAGAAAACGTTTCCTTTTTTAAAACCTTTTGGAAAGAAAGCTGCATGAGGGAAAGCAAAAGAGAGTACAGTGCAGAGGCTCCAATGGTACAGATGAAGCCAAGGATATATTTCCCCTTTGAGACTCCTGTTGGTCCTCCAGAATCATCATCGACGGCAATAAGAGCTGCTGAGAATGACACGATAATCACTGAATTAAGAATTAGCATTGTGAACTTCTGAGAGTTGAGGAAGTACGAGAAAACTGCATTAAAAGCTAACTGAGTTGCGCATATGAGGGAATAAGTGGAGGCAGATAGGTACAAGAGTCCGACAGAATACAACATGTTGTCACCAGCTAAGAGCACTCCAATAGAGAAGTAAACCAAGGCAAGAACTTTAATGGAAGGCGGGTTTGAAGAAGTTGCTTGTTCTTTGGATGAAGGAAGAAAATAAAGCGGGATGAAAAGGACTGGGAAGGCTGCAGTTTGGACAAGAGTAGCCAACCACTTACTATTGCCACCCTGGTCATAATAGAATCTTCCCAGTAAAACTGCAGCAGACTGCCCCACAAGGAGGAAGACGACGTTGAGTACCACCAAAAACCACCACTGCCAACGACCAAGTTTAACAAATAGTGTTTGCTCAATCACAGTTCCATCTCTGGGTAAAATCGATTCCTGGCTATCTGTATTTACATACACACACATGTAAACAAATTATTAAGGTTACAGTTCATCGAATGGTTACAACCAGAAACTAAAGCATTAAAAAGAGGAGAATCATGAAACATGTAATCAGAAAACATGGCATCTATACAGAGATTTTTATCTACATTTCAAGGTTTGGTACAGATCTGGTAAATATCAGAGCTAGAATTTATATAGAAATTATTGGTCAAGATGCAAGTAACAACGCTCTTATTTCCTCATATGTGTAGTCAATATAGTCCTTCCATAATCTTTGAAATTAATATGACTTACACAACTGATGATTTAAACTTTTGTTGCATCATGTTTCTTGCAAATACAAAAGCATATGCAAGTTAGCTTCTATCTGGTTGGCAAACAAATCACAAGCCGCAACATTGAACACGTTCCTTTTCAAATGACGGTGACTCTAAGATTCAAACATAAAATAAAGGCCTTTTTATGGTCATCACTTCTTTCCATTCATCAAATGCCCGGGACCATTTTGATGAAGGGATTCATTCATAAGCACTAACATAAATGTGTTTGTAAAATTCATTTAGCATTCTTCAATTTCAACAACATTGCCTGCAAGTGCAAATTTAAGCGAGGCGCAGGCCAAACAGTAATCAAATGAAACATTGAAAAGATCCAGACCTTCGTATAGGATATCTTTCAATCAATTAAACATTCAAGAAGTCAATTGCGTAACAAATACATACTTAACAATAACCAGCTAAAAAGCATAACAGATTCAAATCCAAAACTAACCAGCTAAAAGCATACAGTAATCACCAGAAGCATAGAAAAGTTAATAAATGAATTAAAAGAACCAGTTTGTAGAAACAAAAAAGAAGCCGAAAATCGGAAACCCAATTGGAAGTTTCATGTGAGTGATTGATTGTAACTGGCAAAAAAAAAAAAAAAAAAAAAAAAAAAACTTTTATTTAAGTAACCAAAATTTAAGCTTTGCATCCTATTCTGTTCTTGTTCGCATACGTACAGTCGGCCAGCAAACCAAATGAAGCCTCAGATTCTGATTATTCTAATGAAAACCCAATAACATATTAATCAAAATAAACAAAACCCATATCTAATTTCTCCATTAATCTTCACAACTCAACACAAAAACATAAAATTATACATAAAATAATAAATAAAAAAACGAGAGAGAGAGACCTGGCATGGCCATGTTTGCTTAGTTAGGGTTAGGGTTGGCGTTGGCGTGACTGAATGAAAGGCTTTTTGAAGTGGTGGAGGTGGAGCGGCAGTAATCGGTGGGCAGTGTTATTATCATAGTTAAGATTGGAATTAAGAGGTTATTAACTTAATCTTAATCACACAAAATTTTCACAATTTTATTTTATACTTTTTATTTACTGTTTTGGTGTTCTTCCAGAATCAGAATTTTAGACTTGTTTCGAAAACAGTGGCGAGTTTTCAGAGAAAAACAGAGTCGTAGGAATATACAACTCAAAAAGCCAAACAAATACTGTACTTTACATACCTCTCCACCAATCCGATTCTGCCGCGTGTGAACCCATCAGATATCTGCGCGGCACAGAGAAAAGCAGAAGAGACTCTTTTGAGAACCGAGGAGCCAGAGGGAAAGAAGAGACCTGTGAATCCAACACCAACCTATGATTGGGCCGCGAGGGTATTATTGGTATTTGATATGTGGCCACCACATAACCAATTGTGACTAATGATTTGAGAGCAGAGATTTGGTCACGTTCTGGATTTGTTTTGGTTGGATGCTTCTTGCTGGCTTTGTGTTATCCCAATTAAAGACTAGTTTGGAAGTGCATTCAAAATAACTGAAAACGCTTATAAAGAAAATGTTTTTGAATTATTAAAGTACAATGTTTTTTATTTCTAAAAGCACTTTAAGTGTTTTTTGCAAAAAAAAAACCAGTTATGTGTTTCTTGTAAGAATCACTTCAAAACGCTTTTTCAAAATTCACTTGCATTTTTACCAAGGCTTGATCCAAAAACGCTTTGAACCATTTTAAATGCAATTCCAAACAAACCATAAATGTGTAAAAATGATCAGCATTTGGATTTCAGTAATTGAAAACAACTCAAGGTACCTCTAAATGAAGGAAAACCAAATAGAAGTCGGTTTTAAAGATGTTCCTCTTAACTTGTAAGCCAAAAGCCTGGTTCGATTCTATGAATAATAAGTTCGATACCAATTTATTTTTCTGATTCGACAGTAATCGGCTCGAGCGCATGCCAATAACTAAAATAGTGCGATACTTTCCGAACATACCCATACAATACAACCATCCGAATTTATTAAAATTAGTTTGCAGAAAAAAAAAAGTAAATGTTTCTTTTAATTACTTTTAACTGAGAGTCTGAAAGTCTGATATTCTAAACTTACCCAAGTGTACACTTACTAACAATCAACCAAACACAAAACTCCAAATGCTACAAAAAGGTGGAACTCAGACAGCAACTAAATTTACAGATAGTAGGATCAAAGCAGCATATACGGAACGGGGCAAAAAAAAAAAAAAAATCAGTTTAATACCCATGTGAAAATTAACAAGCGCATCCGCCTGACTGTGCCTGCGACTGTGATGAATTTGCGTTCGAAGACTTCAGGTTCACATCAACCATGTCCTCTTGCTTCGTTGAAGAAAGTGTTTCCATTCCTGGTAAAGCTGCCGCAATCTTCCGAAACAGTGCCTGTTGTGGGAATAAATCTACGTATATAGCAAGTACTGAACAGTAGCACAATCACCGGCATTAAGGGAGTAGAGTATGATACCTCTCGCTGAGCAGAAATCTAGCTTACCTTGATATTGAAGCCAGCCTTGGCACTGGTCTCGATAAACATAACATTGAGGTCACGAGCTTTGGCTTCTCCTTCCTCTATGGAAACTTGCCTGTCCATCCATCCACAATACACCCCAAATATGAGCACCAGAAGTGGCAAGAAAAATCAAGTGCAAGAAGCTAGCTAGCCTAACTGACAATGAGATACGATCTGAGGGGAAAACTTGTACCACCCTCCTCGTTCCCATCTACAGTACCAAGCACGTATTCACCATACATGTTTTACGAATGAACATCCACACAGCTTGATAAAAAAACATCTTCCTAAAGTGCTCAGATTGGTCAAGTATGCAAATGAAATAATAGGAAAAAAGTTGCACTAAATGAACATGTCATCGTTGCCATGCAGACCACATCCACATGTACAAGACTATCAAACTAAAAAGTGAAATTGAAGTAGGAAACACGAGAATCAACATTCTTTATAACTTACTGCAAAGAAGAAAACAAATCACTACCTTTTGTCTACAAGATCTGTTTTGTTTCCAACAAGTACAATGATAACATCACTTCCCCGCTCAGTGCGAACCTCTTCAATCCACTTGGAAGTGTTTAAGAATGATTGTCTGCCTACACATAAGAATGAGCCAAAAATGGTTAGTGAAATTCATCAAACATGAAATCCCAGTCATTTAATCAGAAAGATACAAACTTCAAGTCCAATAAATCAGAAAGATACAAACTTCAACTCCAATAAAGTTACTTTTGAGAGAGAGAGAGAGAGAGAAAGAAAGAGAGATCATACTTGCAACATCATATACAATGACAGCCACAGAGGAATCCCTGATGTAGCTAGGAATGAGACTCCTGAACCTTTCCTGCCCAGCAGTATCCCTGTTCAAAATTTCTACGAGTTTATGTATCACGGGATAAAAAATATTCCCACAATGCCAATCTTGTTCTAGGATGACTTAAGTAAACCCTGCTAATCACTGAGAGAACTATAAAACAACCCCACAACTTCAGAGCAAATGTTTAAAAATGAAATGTGAAATGTGGCTCGAGTGCTTAGAATGAGTACTACTGAGTGCCAAGGGTCAATATCTTGTATAAAAGAAGCCTAATAACCATTCATTTAAGTCAACAGTAAACTAACATAACATCATGGAATGAGAATGCCGAGCAAGATCATGTCAAAATGAAAACTTAACCTTATACATGAAAACGGGAGTTATACTCCATCAATTGGTCACAAAAATTAGGAAGAAAAAGATAACATCTACAGGACCAAAAACTAAATAAAGGGATGAAGACTAACCAGAGCTGCAACCGAACAGTTCGATCTTCAAGATACATTGTCTTTGACAGAAAATCAATGCCGATGGTAGCCTGGTTGTAACAAATAAACATACAAGCTAAGAAAGAGAAAACTTGAACAAATAATTAACATGTAGGTTGAGTATTGAGAATAGATATCAGTACAGAAATGTAAGAAAAATGAATGACATTTTACAAACAAAAAATTTACACAATCCCCAAAAAAAAAAAAAGGTAATCAATATATCTGACCAGTTACTAAAAGAGATAAGCAACAACCGAATATACAATATACATATACAAACACACAAAGAAGTATTTTCAAAGGATCTATTTTCAGGCTTTATACATTAACATTTAAGAAATAGTTCCTTATTTAAGGATCCAATTGCGGGAAGGGTGACACCCATTTCCCCACATCCCTGTCAATGCCTGCCTCAAGTTTTTTTCGAATCTCAGCCCCACCCATACCAGTCAATAGATGTTTAGAATTTACTGTTGCAATATGCGAACAAAGTAGTAAGATCTTTGTTTAATTCTTCTTCCCCACTCCAAAGTGAACTAAATGATCATAACCATCTACAATTTTACACTAGTGCTACCCATTACAACCGCTACAAATCCAGTTGATTAGCGTCCATCTCCCAATCAACCCTTCTCTTTTACTTATTTATTTTCACATGTAGTAATCCAATTAGCACATTTCAAGAAGAAGAGAGAAGAATGCCCTAATGTACTGAACCAGTTGGCAGACACAGTACCGCCCCAATCACATAAGCCGCCACATTAGTCCCAGAACGAATTTTCGAAAACTACAAGTCAGATTTCCGCCACTACAGTACAGCAACCAGTCTTTGTATCCCCACAAACCAAACCAGCATTATTCACAAATTTGACACATACATAACGCAATTTTCAACACCCGAAAGAACTTGAAATTCCACGGCAATCACAGCCCACACTAGTTCGTTTCAACACTAATATCGTAACCGAAAGCAATCGCCACCTAGAAACCTACCATCAATCAATTACAAGACATTGCTGCAGTTCGTAGCAAATGTTGACAGAAATGAAACAGAAAAAGATTGAAGAATCGGAAGATCACACAGAAATTGCAGAAGAATAGGAAAGGCGTGTAATCCGATTACCTGATAGGTGTTGTCGAACTTGTCGTACATGAAGCGAGTGATGATGCTGGTTTTACCGACGGACTGGTCCCCCAGGAAGACGAGCTTGTACTTGGCGAGAGCCGAAACGGGAGCCATGGTGATTTCGGATCTATGCGGATCGGATCGGGTTCAAGGTCGAGATCTCGCCAGAGATTTAACGGACAAATCGAGATCTCGGAGCCTCGTTCGAAATTCTCTATTTTTTTGTATTTTATTTTTCCTTTGATTTCGGTTGGGTGCGTATTTATATATCGGTGATTGGCAGAGATAGAGAGGGGAGAGACGGAGAGAGTGCATTTTGCACGTGAAATTGGCTTGAGGGGAGGTTTTTCCAAGAAATGGAAAAATTATTTATGTTAAAATATTCTCCTTTTCGCCAATAGTACTACAGTCTGGTGATATTTCTATTATAGGTTTAAATCTTGTAAATGAAGAATTCGATACCAAATTAAATTGTTCATAGTGTGACTTAACCAGACTCCTTCCTCCCCTCAATCTTTTTATGAAAAAAAAAAATTAAAGTTCTTCTTTTTGCCAAAAGTAAAACAAAAAAAATTATTTTATCTCATGTAAGTTGAGATGTAAAACGTATATTTAAATCTTACTTAACTCCTAAGTGGTTTGGATAATTAACGATTAGTTCTTACATATAAAAATCTAACAAATTTATATAAAGGGTTAATCTACCGGGACCCTATTTACCTAGTATTTATATTTGTTTTATAAATGTTATAACTATAATTTATGCTTTAGTCGCGAGATGCAAATTTGAATTTGGGTTAACATCCTTCCAAACTATGAGTGTGTCCGTACCCTCCAAACTAACTTGACGAGGAATGCATTCTCGTGAACAAGCACAACTCCTACACGCATAGGAGCCTTCATCCACGAAGATTGGTGGCAATCATTAGTTCAAAAAAATGTCTTTCAAATCACATGCAATACAATTCTCATCGGTTTTTTGTTTTCTGATATGTATCGGTTCCATTGCCATTTTACACGGTTCATTCTCTACACTATCTGCCTCTTCAATGTTTTGTTAGTTGCAAACTATTAAACCCTAACCCTAGAATGTCACTATGAGGTAGATATTTGTACAACCTAATTTATCACACCAAGATAAGAAGAATGAAGAATTAGGGTTAGGTTTAATATACTTAACCTAACAAAAATTCAAGAGACTGAGTGTAGGATTAGATTAATTGCTTTGTTTTTATGTTCATCAAAATTAGTACTAATCGAATCAAAGCGACATGTAGTGAAGATGCAAGATATTCAAAGCATCAAGTCTTTTTGCCCTTGCATGTGATTTAATATCTTAGTAGATGGGGTAATGAGATTGCTACCCATACGTCCCGGGTTAGAACTCCCCCATTCCTTAAAATTATTGTAATAGTGTCGAACCCTCCCCCTTAATAATAGTGAAATAAAATAAATAAATAAATAAAGCCTTTGCCTCCCTCTCAAGTTCTTCAACAATTCCTCCCTCCTGAGTCATGACTTTCACGATCTTTTCGTCATTATCTTCATTAGGCTTATTTTATTTTGTATGTTAAAATTCACCTCATCTTCCACGTTATTTAGTAA